GAATAAGCACCTGAAGATGGCACTTTTGTGCCGAAACATGTAGTGCGAGAGAGAGGAGTGAGATAGATGAGTGTATGCACTGGAAGACGGTTGAAATAAATCATGAAAATATTATTTTTTAAATTTCGTGGGTATTCGTATTACTAAGTTTCATAGATGGAAACGAATTATAAAAATTCTGATGTAAATAAGATAAAGAATCTTTATTATTAACAGAGGCTTTCCCCAAGGAATTTTTGATAAGTAATTTTTCGGCTACAGATGAGAAGTAATCGTTAAATGCATTTGCTATAGCTAGGGAGTTACCAGATAATTGTTTTTTAATGTTCATTGTAGTTACATTCTCATTAGGCCCTTTATTATTAGTAATGGTTTTTACTATATTCTAAGTAGTTCTAGTCTTGTTAGATTTTAATAAAAGTTTATTATAATAGTATTTTTTTGCTGTCATAACAACCCTGGCTAAGATTCGACAATATTTCTTAAAGTGTTCTTTGTTATTAGGGTCATTTCTGTTTCTGTAAGCTAGATAAGTTTCCTTTTATTAGCGCATGATGTTCTAATACCAGAAGTTAGCCATGGTTTTAGTTTATACAAATATAGGGGTTTTACCACAGGAAAGCATGCATATAAAATTCTAAGAAACGTGTTCAAAAATTTATTAAAAGCCATATTCACAGTAGTTTCGGAAAAAACATCTTCCCAATTTTCATAGCTTAACAAAAATGTAAATTGACCTATTGAGTAGTTATTGATATCTCTTCTAAAGTAATATACCTGTTTAGGGATAGGAATATTAATATTATTTAAGGTGATGGCCTGATCATCATGGTCTGACAAACCATTAATAAGAGGATGTACAGAAAATTTGTGCAAATTGGTATTAATATAAATATTATCTATTAGGTGCAGGAATTACTAAAAATTCTTGTAGGAAATTCTTGACTGGTTTCAATTGTTTTTCAAACTATGCATGTAAGGGACTTGTTCCACATCCAGTGGTGCTTTAGCCCCTCTGGATCTATGGAACTGGAAATAAATATGAATAGAAGAACTTTAATGTGGACCCCAGATCTCTCATAGCATTACATTTTGTTTACTTCCATATTCTTGGATGGGAAGTAACCAGCTTCTGTATGTTGTACAATTATATTTCTAGGTTACAAAGTAAACAGTATCCACACCTCAGAAGATCCTGTTCAGGCTGTTGAAGAAGCAGAAGCATTTTTTGTGGGTGGTGGTAACACATTCCAACTCCTGAAGGCATTGTATGACTTTAAGATAATTGATCCTATCAAAAAGCGTGTGCTAGAGGTAATATTTATGGTATGAAACTTGTGAATTGTCTTTTGTTAGTCATGAATTCCTAATTGATAATACTGAAATAATAATAATCTCTTTATGTTCAATTAACTTTCAGGAAGGTATACCATACATTGGAAGCAGCGCAGGCTCTAATGTGGCAACTGTCAGTATTTGTACAACAAATGATATGCCTATTGTACATCCACCCAGCTTCACAGCTCTTGGGCTTATTCCTTTCAACATCAACCCTCACTATTTGGATGACAATCCTACAACACATATGGGAGTGAGTATCAGCTACTTATTGTGCTTCACAGCTGTTTTGCTTTGCTGCGAAAATCTCCATCTTCGTTCAAAGAACTTCAAGGAAGCCATTTGTGGTAATAGATTACAGAACACACCCTTTCGAGTCTTGTTACTGTTTGTATAGTATCAACAGTCATCCAGGTCATGTAATGAAGATGAGTACAGTATACCAACAAAAAATTATTTAATAATTTCAGGAAACACGGGAACAAAGAATTGAACAGTATCATAGGATCCCTGGAGCTCCTCCTGTGGTGGGTTTGCGAGAGGGAAGCCTACTGCATATTGAAGGAGATAAAATTACACTTGTAGGGAAGTGTAGTGCACGTATATTTTCACCGTAAGTAAATTTCTAATGATTGAAGTATTTTAGGATGGAGTGTAAGGGTTGGGATATGTGCTGTACCATTTCTTCTCTTATTGCCAACCTGTGCATCACATTTTGCACTGTTTTCACAAATTAGGCTGCGGATATGAGAGTTGTGGTGATGGAGCCTTTGCATCTGCATCTGAAGGAAAGATAATACTACAAAAAATAAATTAAGTTGCTTTAGAGTGTAGTTTAAGATGAATAAAATTGTTTGAAATCTTGACAAGTAATTTGCACAGTTGAGTCATGTACAGAGGAAAATGTTAAGGCTGTAGTGTGAACGCTTATTTTATCAGCTGTGTGCTGTGTTGTTCATTATTGCTCATTGCTCATAATACTCATAATATACTAAAAAAATAATAATATGCCTATGGCAATATTTCTTCTTTTGTAAATTGATTATCATGAAAATAATGAATTCATTCATTTCCTTTATTTTCCATATATCCATACAGGCAAAAATCCTAGGATGTGGAAATAGTCCATTTGATTATAGATTATAATCTATGTAATCTATTACATGTATAATTATCCATGTAATAGATTACATAAGTCACACAACTAAAATAACACACACCAGTTAACTAACATAGGCAATATAAAAAAAAACAGAACAAGAGCTTATTACAATTGTAACTAAACATAATTTAAAAAGTGCATTACTATAAAAACTTAATATTAATACAATTTTCCCATAAATCAAAGTACATTGATACAGGACTCATCATATACATACATACATACATACACATCCTCCACTTTCCATAAACATCCATACAGGGGAATAAACCCAGGATGTGGAATTAGTCATCAAACACATACACAAAGTCACGCAAGTCACACCGCGAAGATAATGAATAATGCAGTAGTATCATCATCATTAGCATTTTCTGAACTGAAGATTTTCTTAAACTTATATAATCTCTCATGTTCATTTTCTGTAGCTTAGGTCATATATCCAAAGAATCCATCCAGGTTCGAGGCCCTTTCTGACATTTCATAACCAGCTTATTTTTTATGGCAAGGAGTTGTTAGTCCCTTGCCCAACCCCCAAACTGGAGGACCACCCCGTTTTAGGTCTCTGCGACTGCTTATTCATTATATTCGCAGCTACCCTCCATATCTGGAGGCCATTTCCTCCATCGACAACCTGAGGACATGCCATGCCATGCCATGGTGACAAGGGACCTACCTAATGTGGGTGTGATGGGATGTTGGATAAAACTACATAATGAGGAGCTTCATAGCTTGTACTCTTCACCAAGTATAATTAGAATGATCAAGTCAAGGAAGATGACATGGGCAGATCTTGTGGCACGAAATTGAGTGAAGAAGAATGCATATAGGATTTTGGTGGGAAAGCCAGAAGGAAGGAGATCACTAGGAAGACCAAGACATAGGTGGGTGGATAACATTAAAATGGATCTTAGAGAGATAGGATGAGGTTGTATGGACTGAATTGATCTGGCTCAGAATAGAGACCAGGGGAGGCCGCTTGTGAACATGGTAATGATCCTTTGGGTTCCATAAAATGCTGGGAAGTTCTTGAGTATCTGCACAACTGGCGGCTTCTCAAGAAGGACTCAGTGCCATGAAGTTAGAAGTTAATTATATAATCTCTTCCTCACAACTAATTCCTAATTAGGAGCTGTGCTGTATGAGTAAAAGTCAGCCCACTGTTTTCTGCATATCCATGAAGATGGATTGCTCATGTTCTGCTCACATGTCCCACCCATATTCCACCCATAATTCTCTGCACACGCGTGTAGTTGTAATGAACTTGAGTAACAGATGTACCACACAATGCAGTTTGAATTGTACCAATCATTATGTGCATACACTGTGTTATAGGTTCTAAATGCATGATTGAAATGTGTGCAAATTTTGACGTTACATGTGTACGAGTATTGAGCTGTATGTCCCCCTGTATGGGTAAGGTACAGGCTCATAAGGAACGACTTGCTTGTTGGCGTGGTGCAATATGCCTCCCTAGGATTGGGTAAGGGATCTCAAGGGAGGAAAACCCAATGGTCTGTACGGCAGGCCAAGCTGGGTGGATCAACTAGACAGGAGCTAGTATGGAACATAAGATGACACAGTGTACATATACTCAACCAACATTCCTAAAACATGGAAATATATTAATAACATGAGTATACAAAGTGAGACACGCCTCAAGGGCAGTTACTGGTTACTACAATGGCTGATGGAAACAGAATTACACTGTGCCTGGTGGCGCACCAAATCAAACTATGCCACACCTCATGGTGTATACAAATCCAGTAGAGCGTATACAAGTACGCAAGTGAAACACGCCTGAAGGGCAATTACGGGTTATAACAACCTCTGACTACAGCAGAATGACACCACGCCTTGCGGTGCACCAAAATCAACTAAACCACGCCTCATAGCATATACAACCAAACTCTGCTATGCCTCATGGAGTGCACAGATCCCAGTAAGTCACTTACTTTCAGTTTGGCAAAAGAACTCAAACATTTACCTCACGAACCAGCCAGCCTCAACTAGCTTGTGACGGCTGCTCCTCCCCCTTCGATCCGCACTACGTGCCAAAACAAAATTTCAAATACAATCAATTCAAACTTTCCCGAAACAGAATTTAGTCCATAATGATGTTTCCAGACAAAGATGTAGGGGAAGAGAGAACGTTAGCTTATCCTGAGCCTTCCATGAAGGCTCAGAAACACGTTAGGGAGGGGGGAAAAGGAACACGTGATCTGACATCAGCCAAGGACGTCAGCGGGAAAGAGAGGATTGGCTTCGCGTCCTGGTTGTTTGGAGAGGGCACTCCTAAGAACTTCCCAGTTCAGTATGTAAGCAATGGTTGTGTGTCAGCAATTACATTTAACTGTTAAATGCATGTTATGATAGTGGCATGTAAAGTGTACATGAATCCATAACAGTTTATTTTTTCTATGAAGGAGTATATTTATATTACCATATAATATATATATATAATATTTATATTATAAGACAGCTGGATAGGATCCACACAATCTATAATTCCCTCATTTGTGACATAAGCTGGTAGTCCACATCTCATCTCATGTTTGTTACACTATCACAAACTGGTATCATAAAATGAGTTTTATCAATATGTACTCATAAAAGAAAGGAAACGTTAATTTTCTGAGAGTAGTATTTTATGTACTTTCCATTTGTTTTTCAGTATCATAAAAACAAAGATATCAATGAGGTTTAAGTCCTATCACCTTTGTGTTACACTTTTTGATGGGCTACCAAGTTCATGTCAAGGTATTATTTCAAGTTTCATATTAAAATCTCAACCCTCCTATTTCATTGCCATAATTATAGTTTTTCCTAATTTTTCAGTCAGCACCAACTGAAATACAGTGGATATTTGATGTAATAAGACCTTAAGCATGTTCCTTCCTATTCGTGTTCTGTGACAACAGAGAGAGCTTAGAAAAAGAGGGAATCTGTGTAACATGGAAAGAAAGAATCTGCATGGTGCAGTGGACATCATGTGATGTACATTTCCCAGTTTTTTAAACTCAGAGTTAGCTGCTAACCATTAGATTCTGGAATGTGAACTTTGTCCAAGACAATGGACAGAGAGGGAGGACCTTCAGGGCTGCTAGCCATAAATAACTTCAGGAACAAAATTGCAAGTACAGTTTGTGCAAGAATTTATGCGAAAGCTGTACCTCTAGATTTCAATCACTCATGGTGATGAACGTGCTGGTTAAAACGTTTATTTTATCCAGTGGTTTCCATTTGTTCAACAGTAAGAAGTTGACAGTTTCAGTGTTTTTTGTCACTGTAGTGAAACTCTCATTATAAGAAGTACTAAGTCTACTGTATTTCATTGTATTAATCTTGTGAAATGACTTAGAACTTTTATACATATATTTCTGTATTCCAGGGGAAAGAATCCTGAGGAGTATGAAGCAGGGTCAGATCTTAGTTTTCTGCTGAAAGCTGTGTGACAAGTTAACACATTCTAATTTTTAAAGTGAAAAGTGCTTTATGTGATTTAAATTAACATTATATTTGGATGGATATTTCAGTTTTTCAGCATTCAACTTAAGCATTGTTGAATGTATGTGTGATCAGGGTATGATTATATGTATATGTAATCAACGTACATGATATGTAACATGTATTTTAATAATTTTACACTTATGTTCCGATTATTTTTATTGTCTTATAAACAGGCAGAACTACCCATTTTTTGTAGTTATGACATTTGCGATTTTCCACTTGGTCTTTCCTGGTTTCAGTTATTTCTGGGAGTACAGGCATGCTATATCATGTATGCATTGACATGACATTAAGAAATTCTTGATGATAATCTCAGAATTCCTCATGCCACTTGGAAAGACTCTGTATACACTGGAATAGATGGGACCTCTAATTTTGAAGATATAAATGAACATCAAAACACACATTTAATTGTATATATAAGAGTGTACATATTTGAAACATTATGTGGTATTACACTGTTGATCATTAAGATATTAACATCAACCATACCTTATTCCTATGTCTCCATCTCTTCCTTGGAGTGCAGTGATTAGAACATGAAGCTAACCACACACTTCCATCAAGTTCAGCTTTTCGTAGCATGTGATACTACAACAGAGTCTGGCCTCATCACATGTACATATCAGTACAGTGGCTATTGGTTATGTACTTACACAGTTTTCCATTGTCAATATAACATTTGGAACCATTAAGTAGTGTGAAATGTACCATAGCATAAAATTATGTAATTTCCTTTGTCTTAGTTTTTATAAATTTTTGTTGTTCTTGTTACCCTGATCCTGGAAATTGTTTCACACGAGTCCACACAGTGTTTCTGCTGTTTGTCTGAGTGAATGTCAGTGGCTGTGTTTCATGAAAGGCAGTGCTTTTTGTGTATTGAAAAGTGAACAGTAGATTTGGTTAGCCTATTTCAGTTGTAATAGCATATAGGGTCATACTGTATAGGTACTTTATTTATTGTTGACAGAAAATAGGCAGTTATTCTAATTGAGTTCATTGCATACTTGTGGAACATTAACTTGAATGAGTAACACTGAAGGCTGCTGGCTGTTGGTTGTATTATTAACATCAAAGGCAGCTGGTTATGTCAGCACAACAGCATCAAGCAGGGATGCTATGAAAAGGTAGATTGTGATATTAAGACAAGTTGGGTGTCATTTTATTTGTGCAGTAATGGATTGTGCGCAACTATTTACTGCACATGGATTGCATCTGAACAGCATGGGTAAAGAGTTGCTTTCTAGTTATCTACTTCTTCATATTTATTCAGTGTTGAAAGAAGATATGGGCTCAGTAATAACTCTTGCTTGGCGAGATAGCAATTTTCAGGTTACCTCTTCTCCTGTTGCTAGTTATTCCACTCCCCTAACTATTTCAGATAATCAGAATCTAACAACTAATGAAATTATTTTGGACAGGTTAGCCAGTACTCCCCGTTTAGAGAAAGAAAGTTTAACTAGTTGTACTGTAAATGGCAACATAAAAGTAGCTAATCCTAGCATATTGAAGACTAGAACTTCTAGCAGAATCAAAAAAGCCCCTGTGACAAAAAAATATTTTTTATGGTAAAGTCAACCTCTAGGTCACAGACAGGTAAATCCATTCCTTCGCTGATTAAAGATGCAAGTGCTAGTCAATCAGCTATAAGGAACACTATCAAATTGAATAATGCTAAACCACCTTATGATACTGTTCATAACAACCGTATTCATCCTTCTAACAAATTATTACAGGATCATTATATNAACCACCTTATGATACTGTTCATAAGAACCATATTCATCCTTCTAACAAATTATTACAGAATCATTATAATACAAATAAACTAACAATTCTTCATCAAAATATACGAGGAATTATTAATAAAGTTGATGAATTCTTAAATTCATTATCTCTTAATGCACCTCAAATTATCTGCTTATCGGAACACCACTTGAAAACTGATGAAATAAGTGAAGTAAATTTTGATCACTATACTGTCGGTACTTCCTATTGTAGACAAACATACAGTCATGGAGGTGTGTGTGTTCTTGTTCATAAGAATATCCAATTTAATACTATTAATCTAGACCAATTTAACAAAGAGAAGGACCTTGAAATTTGTGCTTTGAAGTTAAACGTAGCTTCCAACAACTTCACTATTATTTGTATTTATAGATCTCCAACCGGCAACTTCTCATACTTTTTAAATCAGTTGGAATTAATTCTGAACAAAGTACACAAAACATCAAGTGAATTAATTTTATGTGGTGATCTCAATATAAACTATCTTAATGGCAGTTCTAGGAAAAATCTCTTAGATTCTCTTTTAGCCTCTTTTAATCTCTTCAGTACGATTAACTTTCCTACCAGAATCTCTAATAACTCTTGCACCTTAATAGATAATATCTATATCAATACTCATCGGCATGAATATTCCGTGGACCCTGTTATTAATGGTCTCTCAGACCATGATGCTGAGGCTATTACCTTAAATAATATCTCCATTCCTGTCCCTAAACATGTATCCACCTATACAAGAAACATTAACAACTACTTGATAAGTCAGTTTACATGTCTGTTAAGTTATGAAAATTGGGAAGATGTTTTTCTTGAAACTAATGTCAGTGTAATTTTTAATAATTTTCTCAACACATTTCTAAGAATCTTCTATTCATGTTTTCCTGTAAAAAAATCCCAGTACTCTTATAAACAAAAACCATGGCTAACTACTGGTATTAGAATTTCATGTGCAAATAAAAGGAAACTTTATCTAACTTACAGAAATAATAATGATCCAAATTTCAAGGAATATTACAAGAAATATTGTCGAACCTTGGCTAGGGTCATTATGGCAGCAAAAAAATTTTATTATAATAAACTTCTATTAAAATCTAATAATAAGACTAAAACCACTTGGAACATACTTAAAACCATTACTAATAATAGAAGTCCTGGTAATAATATATCCTCAATGACAATAAAGGATAAATTATCATGTAATCCATTAGCCATAGCAAATGCATTTAATACTTACTTTTCATCTGTAGCTGAAAATTTACTTACCAAAAATGTCTCTAGAAAAACCATTATTAATAATAAAGATTTCTTATCTTATTTACATCAGAATTTCATACAGTCGTTTTCAACGATGAAACTCAGAAACACTACCACTTATGAAATTGAAAAAATAATACACTCTTTGAAATCTAAGAATTCTCATGGGTATGATGAGATATCATCAAGAATTCTGAAAGTTAGTACTCCCTATGTTTTATCGCCCTTAACATACATATTTAATATGATCCTACAGACAGGTATATTTCCGGATAGATTAAAATTCTCAGAAGTTAAGCCGTTATATAAGAAAGGAGATAAAACGGAATTCTCTAACTACAGGCCTATCTCACTTCTCCCAACATTTTCCAAAATTATTGAAAAAATCATTTATAAAAGACTGTATTCTCACTTAAATAAGAATAATATACTTCTAAAGGAACAATTTGGTTTTAGAGAAAAGTTATCTACCGAAATGTCAACATACACACTTCTAAACAACATACTGTCATCTTTAGATAAAAAAAATTATGTACGCGGACTATTCTGCGACTTGCAAAAGGCCTTCGACTGTGTTAATCATAACATACTTTTGGCAAAAATGGAATTTTATGGGATCTCAGGCATAGTAATTAAATTAATGAGATCATATTTAGAAAACAGACATCAGAGAGTATCAGTGAAAGATATTAAGCTTAATAAAGTATCTTCCAAATGGGAGCCTGTCAAACATGGAGTTCCACAGGGCTCTATATTGGGTCCATTACTATTTCTCATTTACATAAATGATTTTCCACTAACCATAAACAAAATGGCTAATCCAATATTATTTGCAGATGATACCAGCATCATTATATCAAACACTAATCCTGAGGAATTTAAAAGTAATGTCAGTTCAGTCTTGAATGAGACAATTAATTGGTTCAATAGCAACTTTTTAACACTGAATTGTGAAAAATCACACTTCTTGCAATTCTTATTAAAAAAACAAAGAAATAAAAATGCAAATAATATCTTCTAACTCGGTGATTACCAATATTAATTGTACTAAAATCCTGGGATTAAACATTGATAGTACAATGTCTTGGAAGGATCATATCACTGAACTGTCATCAAGACTAAATAAGGCTTGTTATGCAATAAGGGCAATAAAACCATTTATGTCTTTAGACTTAATGAAGTCGATGTATTATTCCTATGCACACGCTATTCTGTCTTACGGTATTATCTTCTGGGGTAATTCTTATCTCAGTGACAGTATTTTTAAAATTCAAAAAAGAATAATAAGAGTTATTACTAGTTCAGGTAGATACGACTCATGCCATGAATTATTTAAAAAATTACAAATATTGCCACTTCAGTCTCAATACATATTCTCACTACTTGTCTTTGTCATCAAGAACAGAAGTTGCTTTATATCTAATTCTGATATTCATGATATTAATACTCGTTACAACCACAATTTACACTTGCCTTCTACAAATCTATCATCTGTACAGAAAGGAGTACTCTTTTCTGGAAGTAAGATTTATAACCACTTACCATTAAATATTAAAATGCTATCTAAAGATATTAAGCATTTCAAATCTTCATTAAAAACCTACCTTACAGAACATGCATTCTATAGTATTGATGAATATTGCCAATTAACTTCCTAATGAATATGGTTATTTTTATATTTCTTGCCCTTTGTACATTTTGATTAGTTGTGGGAGGTCTTCCCACTGTAAGTCAATTCATTCATGTTTCATTGTCTTCACTATTATCTTGTGTATTTGTTCAAACTGTGTTTTGCGACACTGTTGTGCAATACTGTGTTTTGCTTTGTGTCTTTGATCAAAATGTGTTTTGTGACACTGCTGTTATGCAATACTGTGTTTTACTTTATGTCCTTATTGTGCTCATTATGAATGTATGTATGTATCATTA